GGGGCGCTCCCCGCGCCACGCCGCCACGCGCGCCGGCATGGCCGCCAGGCTGCGGGCCACCCGCGCCGCCCTGCGACGGGACGGGCGTTGGGGACGGACCGGGGGACACGGGGACAGACCGGGGACAGAGGGACAGCCCAAGGGACACGGGACATGAGGGACACTGGCCGGGGACATGGAAGAACCCCCCCAAAGCCTTCCCGATCCTCCCGGTACCGGCGCTCCCGGTCCCATCCCCGGCGCTCCCAGTTTACCCCAGTCCCATTCCCAGTTTGTCCCGGTCCCACTCCCAGTATTCCCAGTCCCACTCCCAGTATTCCCAGTCCTGCCCTCCCAGTCCCAGTGCTCCCATTCCCAGTCCGGCGGGGGCTCCGTCCTGGGGGTCCCGCTCGGGGTCCGGCCCTGCTGAGACCCCGCCCCAGCTGAAGGCGCTGGGCTTTCCCGAGAGCCTGGTGATCCAGGCCTACTTCGCCTGCGAGAAGAACGAGAACCTGGCGGCCAACTTCCTGCTCAGCCAGAACTTCGACGACGACTGAGGGACCCCCGGCCCTCCCCCCGCCCTGGGGGGCTCCTCTGCCTCGGGGGGGCCCCCGCGCCGCGTGGGGGGGGTTGGGAACGCTCCAGCCTGGGGGGGGGATGGGGACCCCCAGCCCTGCCCCCACCCCGGGAGCAGGGGGAGCCCCTCCCTGCCCTTGGGGGGGGTCTCAGCCCCCCAGCTTTCTCCTGGCCCCCCTCCCCAAAAAAAAACCCGAGCCCCCCCCGCCTGCCAGGCCCCGGGGAAGGGAGGGTGGGGGGGCGGCGCCGCAGACACCGGAACGCGGCAAAGAGATTAAATGCAGAGTTTTAAACCCAAACCGGGCGGCGTTCTTCTCTCCGGGCCCTTCCCGATCCTCCCGGTACCGGCGCTCCCGGTCCCATCCCCGGCGCTCCCAGTTTACCCCAGTCCCATTCCCAGTTTGTCCCGGTCCCATTCCCAGTATTCCCAGTCCCATTCCCAGTGCTCCCAGTCCCATTCCCAGTATTCCCAGTCCTGCCCTCCCAGTCCCAGTGCTGCCATTCCCGGTGCTCCCCGTCCCATTTCCAGTTTGTCCCAGTCCCATTCCCAGTGCTCCCGGTCCCATTCCCGGTTTATCCCAGTCCCATTCCGTTTATCCCGGTCCCGCTCCCGGTGCCCCCAGCCCCATTCCGGTGCTCCCAGTCCCATTCCCGGTTTATCCCAGTCCCATCCCGGTTTATCCCAGTCCCGCTCCCGGTGCCCCCAGCCCCACCTCTCCTCCCTCCGCCGCTCCTCCTCCCGCTCCCGCTGATCCAGCGCGGCCTCCACCTCCCGGAGCGGCGGGTCCCACTCGCGCTCCTCCGCCTCCGCCTCGCGCAGCTGCTCCGGGCTGGGCCAGAGCCGCCACACCGGGACCCCCGCGGCCTCCCCGAGCCGCCCGAAGCGCCGCGCGGCCGCG